GAAGCCAGGTGCGACCAAAACCTGCAGCCCAGAGTTCAAGAAGGCCTGTACGTTCTCAGGCATCTGGTGGAGCACCACATGGCTGCGCATAATGTTACGAAGAAACCCACCAACTTCACTGAGAGCCTGAAGTAGGACTGCGCACTGGGGCGGGTCAATATCGCAAAGCACGTGGGCCATCTGAAGCCTGGTGACCATCGCACGAAGTCTGTCACGCTCCTTCTGAATGTGCATAAACCATCGAAGTACCACCTTCCAGGCCAAGGTCTGAGGGCTCTTGTAGGTGCGCTTGAGGGGCGGCTGCCAGGCAACCTTCCGCCACGTGAAGGAGGTCGCCCCCGCTCGGCCTGAATAGCGCAGCGCAGCAGGCCCCACATGGTCGTAGCGGTTGGTGAGCTCCCTTTCGACACCAATCATCAAGTCGTCCATACAAGCTGCAAGCCCTTCAGCATCGTCGGCCACCTCGAAGCTGGTAGCATCCCAATGGTAAGGGAACCTCGAGCATCCAGTAGGGGCCTGTAGTGGTAGCTCCTTGGGCAAATTCGGCACGAGCCTCCATAGCGGGTAGTCCTGTCCAAGCACTTGCAGATGTACTGGACAATGAGGGTATAAGGTCGCCCCTTCATCCACCCGAACATGGGAGTCTACTCGTGCTGCCAAGTTTGCAGAGACCAAAAAGTAGTCAAGTATAGTCCCAGGTTGGGCCTGCCTGCGCGTCGGCAACTTTGGGCAGAAGGGAATGGCCGAGGCTGCCGTAGCCCAGCTGTACGAGAAAAGCTCAGCTGGCTGGTTATTCCAGTCCCCACCGATGAGCCAGTCCACCCCCTCGCTGTTGAACCTCGAGAGTGCCTTGACCGTCTCCCACATGTAGGCCGCGTTGACTGGGCCCATGCCATCCTTCGTGTCGAGGTAAATGCTGCCAGCTGTGAAGCCGCCAGGCACACCCCAGTGAATATGCGCAAACAAACATCTTCCAGCGACGACCTCCTTCTCGGCCAAAATAGGGGCGGTGATCATCACGCCCGTGCGAACCAGAATCGCGACCCCTGCTGTCGAGCCCGTCGCCGAGGCCGTACTCGGCGTCGCAGCAGCCCATATCCCATGCCAGCCAATATCACGAGCCTGAGACTGCGCCTGCTGGAGGCGCTCGGGCAGCAAGTGGTGCTCTTGAACTAGCAGCACCTTCACGTCGTCGCCAATGCCTGGCATGTACTCGAAGAGGGAGCCATGCGAGCTGACGTTGACCGTCGCGGCCTGACCCTTGAGCGAGAGCAGGCTGCGCTTGGCTCTGTCGCCGGCTTGGCGTCGGGCCTTCCCAGTCGGAGCCGATGGTAGATTGGGCTCCGCGTGGCTCAACCCTATGCCACTTAAGGTAGGAAGTGAGCCCTGGGACCCGTCAGGCCTCTGCAACCCCTCGACAGGCACAAGGGGGCCAGCGGTGGCGTGAGCCGATGAGGCCGAAAGGCCCTCCCAAGAAACCTCCCGCCGCTCGGCGTCAGCCTGAGGCAAGCAGGGGCCCAGAACCCCAGGGAAAACCTGCCCAGACGCGTTCTGACGGAGTTCGCGGCGACTCGGGCTGGATTCCAGCAAGGCATGTGGCCTGGATCCTATGTTAGAGATCCCAGTGCTGGTCGCACCCGTCGGAGCCGACGCGATATCCACCAGCATGGCCGCTGACCCACTCCAAGAACTGGTGGATGCAGGCGTAGGTGTAGCTGAAGTAGAAGCTGTCGTCCTGAAAGACAGCGCCACCAACTGCGCGATGACCGAGTCCAAAGGATCGCCCGCTTGGTCATCATCTGAATGAGGTTGTCGAGCAGGTGGTGGGTTCCTGACGTCTGGGGCCTGGTCGCCCAGCACTCGGCGGAACATCGCTCGAACCTCGGCGAGAGCTCTCCAGCGCCTGTGCTCAAGCCTTTGAGCGGCGCCAGGCTCACGACCAGCGAGGCGCATGAACCAGGCCTCTCGTCGTCCCTCAGTTTGCCGCCATGCCGAAGAACATAATTCATCAAATATATCTTGAAGGCTCCTTCCAGGACACCAAGACAAGAGCAATTGGCGCAATGGGAGATTGGCATCGCGGCCGATCAAGGCAGACAGAAAAGCAGTACACCACTCGATCCAAGGACGTCCATCCCGTGGAATCTGTGCGTGGCTGTCAAACCAGAGCGCCGCCCAGTCGCGTAAGTCCTGGCGCATGTCCTGGTAGTCCTGCACTGGGTCAGGTGGTGCAGGCATCCGAGCTGGCTGATGGAGGTGTCCTGGACTGCTGCCCCACGTCGCGCCACTGCCCGCGACCTCGCCATGAGAGAGAGAAGTCCAGCAAAACCCTGCGCCCCCACCCCCCACTCGCTGCGCCCCCCGCCTCCAGTGGAAGGGGCGCCCTGGAGGGTGGTGGACGCAGGCGCGACTGCGAACCTGAGCTACCACTGGCAACCCAGGATTTGCGATCTAACGCCTGATGCCCTCCATCATCAGCATGGGCAGGAACAAAAGCATCTGGCAGCGCCCCAGGATCCGCACGTAGGCGCTCGCTGCCACCACCTGCATCAGCAGGTCCTCAAAATGCTCTAGTGTCCTGCTCGGAGAGCCCGAAGAAGTCGTCCTGGTCGAAGCCAGGGTCGGCACACAACTGCTCAAAGTCGTCGCCGAAATCGATGGTATGGGAATCTGCCGCCATGGTGCCGATAGTGATGGCAATTATGAGCACGAGCCTAAGCATCGACCTTGAGCTTCTTGGCCAGCAGCTTCTGGCAAGAGTCCAGCTGGCGCTTGGCCTGGGCACGCAGCTCCGTCTCATCAGCGCTGGCTTCCAACCCAGCTTCAGCCACAGAGGCCCGAAGATCTTCCAGGTCCATATCTTCAGGTACAAGCATGTCAACATGCTCGGGCCTAACAGGCTGCTCAGCTTGCTGCTGTGGCGGCTCAGGGGGCCGCTGCTGCTGTTGTGGCTGCTGCTGTTGCGCGCGAAGCTGCTCTTGCTGTTCGGTTCGCTGCTTCCGAACCTGCTCAAGCCAGGGCTCCACGAACTGGGCGCAGCTGGCAGCCAACTGCGCACCGCCACCAAGGGACTGAACCAGGCTCTGCAGCTGCTCCAGACTGGCCGTGAAAGTGTCGAACACCGCCTGGCCGCTGCCTTCAGGAGCATGAGTGAGCTGCTCAGGCGTACGAGCGCGCAACAACTCCATCTGCTCCCTCTGCAACTGCACCCGAGCCTTCTCTTTGGTCTCCAATTGCTGCTTGAGATCAACCACCAAGGCGTGCTTCTCAGCAATGGCCTGCTCCTCCGACTCGATAGTGGTCTTGAGCTTCGCAATCTGCTGATCTGCCTTCTGAATCTTATTGCCAATGCCATGCACCTGCGCACCCAAAGGCTTAGCATCGTGGATCTCCTGCCGCAACTTTCGAAGAGATGTTCGCGCTTCCTCATAGCCGATGACAGTCTGCGGGGCAACGCCCTTAACCTTGGCCGCCAGCTCGAGGGAAGCAACAACCTGCTCCAGCGCATCCAGCTCCTGCTGCTTGCCCTGGGCGTCGTCCTTAGTGGTAGCGGCATCAGGCTGCGGAGGCGCGTGCTGCACATTCTCAGTCGGCCTGATCCGAGACAGCTGCTGCACCTGCTTCCGAAGGGCCGCCAACTCCTTGTCCTTAGCATCCAGTGCCGCACGCGCATTGCCCCCAGCAGCAGGAGGCACACGAACACTGGGCGTAGGAGTAGGTAGATCACACTTGTAGACGCGTCCTTTGGCCCCACCACACAAGAAGCAAGAAGCAGCATCTGCATGATTGTGCCAAGGCTCGCCAGTTTTCTCGTGTGTGCAGTGCCTGCACACCCATCGCTTGGCCCGTGCTGCCCTGTCTCTTGCCGCTGCACCCTTCGGCGGCGCCATGACGACCGCAAAGAACGAGAGACAAAAGCAGCGATGGCCGTTCCGTAGCCAGGCAGCCTGGCCGTGGCGTCAAAACTGATGAGGGAGCCCAACCCCTCGGTGTAGGCGGAAAGCTGTCGAGCGCAAGGGCTCTGGCACTGCCGCGGACTAGCGGTATCCGTGAAAGCCAATACGGGCTCAGCCCGCAAAAGCATGAGCCTTGAGCCAAAATGGCTACGGAGGAGGAGGAGGAGGAGGAGGAGGAGGGGGAGAGGGAGGGAGGAGGGAGGAGGAGGGGAGAGGAGGAGAGGAGGAGGAGAGGAGGAGGGAGGAGGAGGAAAGGGGGAGGAGGAGGGAGGAGGGAGGAGGGAGGAGGGAGGAGAGGAGGGAGGAGGGAGGGGAGGAGGAGGAGGGAGGAGGGAGGGGGAGGAGGAGGGAGGGAGGAGGAGGAGACGAGGAAGGAGGAGGGAGGAGTGGAGTGCAAAGTGCAGGGCTGGCACGGTGGCGGGCCGCGGGGCTTGCCGCAGGCAGCCGGCCGAAGCGCTTCCCCGGGCGCCCAGGGAGCGGTCCCCGACCCTCCAGGGGGGGCCGAGGTCCCAGCGGTTGAGCAGGGACCGACCGTCCGGGCATTCCTGCAGTCCTACCACGAAATGTTCTTAGAACCCACAAATGTTCTAAGAACAGAAGCAATGTTCTTGGACCATATCCCCGATGTGTTAAAACGAGACAGACTCCGCGAGAAATGTCCTAAGAACATGTCCTGGAAACCACACAAGGTTCTTAGAACATTGTTTCGTAGGGCTATAGGCGAGCCAGGACGCTTCGCCGCTGCTTGAAGCGGTACACGCCCAGAGAGCAGCGAGAGCCTGCCACCACAGGGGACAAGAAGACGCGTATGGCCCTTCTCCTCCCCGCGTGCAGAGTATATAGAGGAAGAAACGAACACATGAACATAAATGTGTGGCGCTCCGCGCGGATTTCTTGGATTCGCGCTGGACCTCCCTCCCTGGCGTGCGGAGCGCGCCAGGGGCGGCGCCGGAGGCGCCGCTGGGGGGGGTCCAGGCGCGGATCCAAGAAATCCGCGCGTAGCGCCAACACTTTGTGTTTATGTGGTTCTTTCTTCTTCGAGTGATCGAGGACAAGCCAGGCCAGTCAGCGAGGGCGATGACTGACTGCTTCACCGGCAGCGGCCGCGCACCGTCGTGGTTCGGATCTCATCTGCCCGCGCGCTGCGCACTGTGCTTGAGCTGCCTGCCCGGCCAAGAGAGCGCCTGGCCACGGAGACTGGCGCGGAGCGAGCTGAGCGGACGGCCGCCCAAGTCGAGCATCGAGAGACGCGGGTTTGAAGGGGCCCCAGGACACACAAATTAAGTACACACAACTAATTTTCTGGGTCGTTGCCCCCCCCCCCCACACCACTTCCCATGTGTTCCCCTATTTCCTCGGAATCGACGATGGATTGTGTCTGTGTTTTTTCCCTCCTGAAGTATGGCCGATCACTTCTCTGCCTTGTTGAGCGTGGACAGCGCAAGCACCATCAGCACGCGGAAGACGACGAACAGGGCCAGGAGCACCGCGATGGCCGCCTCCTCCGACGGGGCGTCGTAGAAGCCGTACTGGGTCATGAGCTGGACGCACCCCGGCCTGCTGCACGCGTCGGGCCCGTAGATGTCCACCGCGGTGCGCGCGATGGCATAGCTGAACGGGCTTACGCTGAGCGCCCAGGCCATGAAGTCGGGGGTGCTCTCGCGGCTGACCAGGAAGCCGTTAAACAGCATGAACAGAATCATGCCGGGCATGGCGATGAGCTGGGCGAGCTGGGCGTTGGGCGCTACAGAACCGATGAAGTTGAAGTATGCGTCCATTACAAGCTGGCACATCATCACCCAGAAGTAGAATCGGTCGAATATTCTCCACTCGAGCTGCCCCATCGCGAAGACGATGAGGATGAACAGCGTGTTAGTGACGACGCTGATCACCAAATCTGGGAGAGAAAACGATATGATCCAAGCGGGAATGCTGTGAAGACCTTCATCAACATCTTTCTTCATGACAGCTCTCGTGTCGATGAGGCCTGGCATTGCCGACATGCCCGCGAGCGCCGAGAACTGCATGACCATGAAAATGTAAGTGATGTGTGTAAATTCAGGCTTGGAGGCGATGTCCCAGTACGCGATGCCTACGATCAAGCCTTGCACGACCGACATCACGACCTTCAACCTCAGCCCTTTTTTATCGCGCAACAGGAGCCTCCGCTTCACTGTCGCCAGTACCATCAGCTGGGTCATCAAGGTCGCGGTATACCTGCTATTCTCGCGCAAGCCTGGCGCGTTCTTGATAGTCTCCTCGTCCAGCACGCCCCTGAAATTCTGCCACCGGCTTGTCACTCCGCCGACGTGCCCCCCTGGCACATCGAGGCGTGGTGCCCGTGCCTGGTGCTGCCTGGTGGGGTCTCTGTACGTCTTATGAGCCCCCCCCCCTCTCTCCTCTCCCCGTTGCGTTCTGCGTTCGCCGCTCCCCCTGTCGAAGCCACGATCCCTCGCAAAGATCTGTTGGTCCGCGATCCCGGGGCCGCGTTCTCCAGCACAACAGACGTGAGCCAGCGTGGAGCCCAAACAGCAAGTTATATTGCACCGCGGATGTGCAAGCTACGTGGGGCAATCGTGTGGTGCAAGCTATGTCGTGCAAGCTATGCCTTGCAGCCCTGTTCTGCAAGAGATGTGGGGGGCAATGCGTGTGGTGCACTCTACGTGGTGCAGCATGCGTGGTGCAAGCTGTTTGTTGCAAGCTGTGTGGTGCAAGCTATGTGGTGCAAGCTTCGTGGTGAAAGCAATGTGGTGCAAACTATATGAGGTAATGTCTGTTGTGCAATATACGTGGTGCAAGCTATGTGGCACAAGCTTTGGTAAACACTAGGGTGCAAACAGCTTCTGTTCGCAATGAATTGTCAAGTCCGCTGTACGCGCAATCATCCCTCCCCCCCGCCCGCAACTTGGTTTGCAAACCCATGCGGTGGCGATTGCAATGAGTGCTTGGCGCTGGCTGGTGCATCTCTGCGGCGGCGCTAGGCCGCGCATGCTCGTGCGCGAAGCTGCCAGCTAGCTTGGGGCGACCGGCGCGGCCGCGGTGGCGTTGACCGCTGGGCACTTCCCCGCAGGCACTTCAGTGCGAGTCGGAAACTTGGGCGGGCGCAGTAACATGGCAACGCCGACAATCGTAGATGCGATGACGATGATGATGTGATGATGATGATGATGATGATGACGATGATGCTGATGATGATGCTGATGCTGATGCTGATGATGATGATGATGATGATGATAAAGCGATGCTGGTGACGATGATGACGACGACGACGACGGCAAGGCCAGTGACGGCGCCGACGCTAATCACGTCGACGACGATGACGGCGTTCTCGGGGCGGTGATGAAGATTTTGGAGGGAACTCGACATGCGCACGGCCGACACGCGAGAGTGGCCCGCCTGGTACTATTTGACACGGGTCATGCCCCCCCCCAACACGCGCACAAGGGCGTTCAAATAATTTCACCATACAGCGCGAGAGGCCCGTCTGACCGAGTGTAATGAGAATGTTGAACAACCGATGGTTGTTTTAGGAATTCGCAGGCGCGCGAGCGCAAGCATTTTTGAAAACTGATGTTGCAAAACCATGCTTGTTTAATGGTTACGGGACACTAGGTTTCGAAATCCCTACGAACAACTCAGGTTCATGAAGGATTTCGGCATGCGCGCGCGACGACGCGCGCGTGTACACTTCGTCACATATTTTGCAAGGGATTATTGCGACAGCACGCGCGCAGAAGCGCTTGAGCGATTTCGACATGCGTGCGCGAGAGGCCCCTTTGGCAGCACGTTATGAACATGTTGAGAAAAAAAACATGGCTCTCTTAAGAATTCGCAAGAGCCCGCGCGCAAGCTTTGTTTGAACATCATTGCTGCGAAAGCATGTGTTGTTGTATCTGTTCGGGACGCTCGATTTTGGAAACCTGATGAAGCCTAAGGTTTATGAAGGATTTCGGCATGGGCGCGCGACGACGCGCGCGTGTGCACTTCGTCCCATGTTTTGCAAGGGTTCTTGAAAACTGAGGATTTGTGATAAACGAGTGCGCGCGCATAGCATTTGTTTGGAAAAGGATGAAAGGGGGCATCGGCCAACCTGGCATGGTACGAATTCATATCTCTGATGGACGATGGGGCACAATCACGTGTAAACTGCCATACGCGAAAGGGTCCCGTGAATTCCGGGGGGGGTCGATCCTATTACTTGGGCAGGGACCGACCGTCCAGGCATTGCTATAGTCCTACCACGAAATGCTCGTAGAACCCAAGAACATAATCGCGATGTGTTAAAACAAGACAATATGAGCCAGACATGTTCTAAGAACATCTCGTGGACGCCACAAAAAAGGTTCTCATAGCATGGTTTGGTAGAGCTATAGGCGCGCCAGGACGCTTCGCCACTGCTTGAATTGCTTTTAAAAAAAGACAAGAGACTCGATGTGGTGACCGTTATGTGATGCAACCTGCGTGGTGCAAGCCAGCGGGCCGCCCGGGCGGGCACCGCGCGCGCCACCTCGGCACGCACCCCGCGGCGCGGAACGCCCACGAGGCGCGCCCACGCGGGCGCCCGCGCACTGGGCACAAGCGGAAGCCCAGGCGTACCCGTGGTTCATTTCTCATCGCGCTCGTTTCTGATTGTGCTCGTCTCTAATTGTCCCTGGCCCCCTAGTGGCCAGGAAGAGGCCCAGGATAGAAGAGTTAGAAATGAAAGGATCTTGGCCCCCCGAAAATCAAAGAACATTCGAGGAGTTAGGAATGAACAGTGTGTACCCATGCAGCTCCCTGGGCTATCTAAACAAGACCCCCTAAGTGCACACACGCTACTGGGGGACCCACTGGCCCGCATTCCCGAAGCCACGCTGCCTCACACAAAAAACACAACGGACCCGCGCGCCCGAGCCTCCAAGACCGCCGAGGCGGGCAGAAACGAGGCCGCCAAGATGGCCCAAGGTGCCCCTTCGAGATGGCCCCAGCACGGCCCAGCGGACCCACGACCGCTCAGAAGTCCTCCACGACGGCCCCAAGACAGCCCGAAGAGCGCCTCTCGACTGCCCAGGGCGGCCCTTCAAGAGAACCCCGAGCTGGCCCAGGAGGGCCTCCGGAAAGACCCGAGACGGCCTCACACGGCCCTATCGACGGCCCGGGCCGGCCTCGAGAGCCATCCCAGGCGGACAAGACGGCCCTGAGATGTCCTGAGAGCGCCCAATTCTGGCCCAACAAGGCCCCAAGACGGCCAAAGTGAGCCACAAGGGGCTGAAAAACTGCACCAGACGAGCTGCAGACAGTCCCGAAGCAGCCCCATCATGCCATTCCACATGGTGCTCGTCCACTACGATGCTGCTGCTGCTCCTCCTCCTCCTCCTCCTCCTCCTCCTCCTCCTCCCCTCCTCCTCCTCCTCCTCCTCCTCCTCCTCCTCCTCCTCCTCCTCCTCCTCCTCCTTGCGCTCGTCCACTACAATGCTGTTCCTCCTCCTCCTCCTCCTCGTCCTCCTCCTTGTCCTCCTCCTCTTCCCTCCTCCTCCTCCGCCTCCTCCTCCTTCCCCTCCTCCTCGTCCTCCTCCTCATCATCACCATCAATCACACCCACATCCTCATCGGCATCGTCAGTATCCCCCTCTTCCTAATCATCATAACCATCATAATCACCATCCTCACCAGCAGCATCGTCATCACCATCACTATCATCGTTACCACCACCACCATCATCATCATCACCATCATCTCGTCATCATCATCACCATCCTTACTGTGTGTGCGTGTGCGTGTATGTGTCCGTGTGTCCGATGGGTGCGTATGATGTGCGCGCGTGTGCGATGTGTGTGCGCGCGTCCGTGTGTCCGATGAGTGTGCATGTGCTTGTGCGTTTGTGTTCGTGCATGTGTGTGTCGGCGTCCGGGCCTGCATCTCTGCGCATGCGAAGAAGGGGGAGGAGGGGGGGAAGGCGAGCGCGTGAGTGAAACGCGGGTGCGACGCCGGTGGGAAGAAAACCATGCCCTCACGGAGCACGCGAAGGAACAAGGAACCTCCTCTCTTCTGTTCTTAGTCCAGACATTCACGCCCTTCCTTCGAACAGCCGTATTGCGCTGCCCTATCACAACTCTGAAATGGGCGGCTTGGCCAAACGCACAACGCGCGCCGCACAAACCACATGCGCAGGCATCATGGCCAGCCAAGGAGAGTTCGGGGAAGGCTTTTTTATAAACGCGACATCGCGCGAGCGTCGCATGCGCAAAGCCGAGACCATCGCACTTTGCGATGCTGCCCGTGGCTCTACACAGGCAACATCGCCACCGTTCCCCAATCACGCCCGTAGCGTGAAGAGAGGATTGCATTGGAATCCGCCATTCGCAGGAGGTTTGTGAGGCCTCCTTTTGCTCTCTCAAAATACGCATCTCGCCGTTTTGCCCCAGTATGTTTCCTGAGCGCGATAGCCGCAACGATCGGCCGCTCCAGCATCGCCCCAGTTGTGCCCCAGCGTTTCAGAATAGCCCAAGGTGGCCACATATATTCACCCGCCCCTGTGTTCGCGCACCGGCGGATGCACGCGAAGCGTCGAGCCTTGCTCTCCGATGACACCTTCACCCCGAAACCGTTCAGACGGCCCGGCTCCACCACATCTAAGTCTGCGGCGCCTGCAAGGACAAAAGGCGCGTGACTCGCGACGGCCGTGGTCAGAAACGTCTCGCTTACCGCCTTCCTTTCATCATCCTCCTTCTCCTCCTAGCCCTGCCCTTCCTCTCCCCCCTCTGCTGCGTTTTCCTTTTATCCTACCTTCTTTTTGTCTTCCTACTTCGTTCCTCTTTTCTTATCTCTCCGCTCCCTCCTCTTGCGCAGCCAACGCCCTTTCTATACTTTCTGCTGCCGGCATTGCCCCCGGTCTCCCCCGTCCGCTTCCAGGCCGGCGGCGCACGGCAAAAGCCGGCCCAATCGACGCACTCCATACGCCGCGCGCCATCGCCAAGCGCGCAGTGCGAACCCGTCATCCCCAACATAGAAAATATCGCAGAACGGCCAAGTCTCCTGACGCGCCCCCTGTCCAGTCGCGCGGCCATTCAGCGCTCTCGGTAACGGCCGGCACCCAAAAGCAAAACATAGATTGTCATGGTTGGTCCGCCTTCATGCTTTTGCACGATGAAGCATTACCCTAGGAACCATTGCGTTCCGGTGGAGAGCTTGCTTGTACCCAAATTGGCCCCAAGAACGCTTCGGAACAAAGGTCTGCCTCTTCCGCCTCCACCTCCGCCCCACCCCCCCCCCCTTCCGCCCGCCCTCGCCCCCCCCCCCCCCCCCCCCCCCCCCTCCTCCTCCTCGTCCTCCCCCGCCTCCTTCGAATATGCGCTGCGTGTGTTTCTGGCATCGTTCCCCTGCCAGCTGCGACGGGGGATCTTTTCTGGATGGGCCGGCAAACAGAAAGCACAAAGACCACCGCGGACACGGCGACGGCGACTGGATGCAATGCGCGATGCACAAGTTCAGCGGCGTCTTCCTGATGAGAGAGGCAACTCCCCTTGTCTGCGCCGACGGGGCACGCGCATGTAGGTCGTCGCCCCAGTCTAGCACAGGTCGACGACGACGATGTCCCATGTCCGCGCAAGGGACCCCTTCGAACACAACCGAGATACGTCTCATCAATTCAAGCATCTCTGCCCGATACCGGATGTAAGATATAGCAGGCGGCTCTCTGGTGGTTCATTGCCCGACAATCGCGTAATCCTCCCGACCGGTGCCGCGTTTGTTTCTGTTCCAGGAATTAGCTCCAGTTGAACGTTCGTGGCCTGTCTCTGATGCTTGCCCAAATTGTCAAGGTGCAAGCGCTTCGGTTCCGGTCGTCGCATTTTCTGACCTCTACCCCGCAATTGACCATTGAAAATATTTACGCGACCCGCCGACACGTCCGAACGCTTCGCATCGGCGGCGACAAACTTCTGAAGCTCCAGCCGCCGCTTCATTGAATGCGCCTTCCGGGCGCGATGGACGTCAGCAAATGCATTCCACGCAACGAAATGGCCGCGCTTCGGGACGCCCCTCGCGCGTAGCGGTGTCTGTCGTAATTCGCAATAACGACGATAACAATGCAAATCTGGCAATGCTCCGATTGGGGCAAGTGGGCCCAAGCTCCCAGTTGTAATAAATTCCACGTAGACTTGCATGTCTTGTTCTTAAGGAGACCTCCGTAGTTGCTGACAGCCTCTGCCACGCCATGCCGCAACTCTCTCTCCCGGGCAGCCAGTGCTTTCGCCCTGCTCGACCCAGCCGGCTTGCTCTGTAATCCCGCCGAAATTGACGCCATCGCTGGCGAACACCGTAGACACTTGATATTGATCACATCGTAGCACGACGCCGTCCTATGAAAAATGGCGCAAAGAAAACTCCGCATCCCATGCGGCGTCGAAGTTGGAATAAGATCAACGTCGCGCCGCACAGTCAATCCGAACGCGCACCCTACAACAAAACCATTCGACCTTGCTATATACGGTCTGGCGCACTTCCTGTCAACTGATGTATTCAATCCCCACAAATACGCCCCGCTCCGCCCACGGGTCCGCCACCGTGCCGGCGCGGCAAGGATGTGATACAGCGCCAATGGACTGGCATAGATCGCATACTTTTGTTAAGGGCACCGTCGCCACCATCCTCGGCGCCATAGTCGTCGTCATCGGCGTCACCCTCTTTATCATCATCATCATCATCGTCATCATCATCCTCATCATCGTCAGCGCGACCATCCTCCTCGCAAGCGAATCCAAGTGTGGACGCCGATGATGCTGGAGTGGCACGGCGGCGGGTCTTGTCGCAAACAGCCAGATATCAAGCGCATGATGTGCCAGCCCCATGAAGGTTTTCGTCGGCATTGGGCGCCCGTCGACGAGGGCGTCTTCGCATCATCATCTAGAAATCCGCCGCGGCATGCCCCCTGACGCCATTGCAAGAACTACAGCGCCAAGCCTACAACAAAATGTCATCCGCTACCATAAGGCAGTTGACTGGCGAAGACGCCCAACCACATGCAGCTCTGACAACGACTGACAATTTTGAAACAAAAAGGGGGCGCCTACTGCATTGTCGCATTCATCGCGCCCTGAACGTATACCCAACCTCCTCAAAGAAACGAACCTCTGGATGCATCCCCATAATCTAG